CAGCGTGCAGGCATCATGGCTTTGTCTCAACAGCAGTGGAAGCACTGCAGTGTCCTAGGTAAGGAGGTGATGGAACAGAACTTGAGTTTCAGGAATCTCCATCCGGCTGCAGTGGCAGTGAGGCCTGGGGGGCTTACAGAAGACAAGGTAGACAACCAGGGCGGCAGTCCACACACAGGACATGGTGATGCTGGCGGTCAATGCTGCAAGCCAGCTGTGACTCACGCAGACTGGAGAGGAGTATAAAGGAGAAGGCAGGTAAAGACCACAGGTACATTTAAAACCAACCCTAAGATTCCTAGGTGAGGCAGGCAGAGGCTGCCGTGTGTGTGCTGGGAAGGGCCTCCTAGGTTTTGCTAAGCAGTGGCCAGGGGCTAGCTCTGCATCTTCTCCCTAAGATTCCTAGGTGAGGCAGGCAGAGGCTGCCGTGTGTGTGCTGGGAAGGGCCTCCTATGTTTTGCTAAGCAGTGGCCAGGGGCTAGCTCTGCATCTTCTTGTGCTTCTCCAACACTGCAGGTTCCCACTGATGTGAGGAGTGAAGCCTGATTCACACGAAGCCGCTCAGAAGAAATTGACTTGAAAGGGAGACAATCACTGAGGGAAACCCAAATAATTCTCTACCCTGGATGCCAGCCTTATCCTGCATAGAAAATAAAAGATTTCTTTTGAGGGAGCAGAGAATTAGAAGGGAGTCATGCTGAATACTAAAAATGCACAAAAGGACTGGCAATGTTTTGATGGGGGCCCAAGAATGATGGAGAAACTTTCAGAAGTCGAGGCAGCGAAAGCCTGGCGTAAGGTCTTATGTATAAAGAGAAAATGCTAGGTTAACTGAGCATCAGTCTCAGGCCAAACACTCTGCTGCCATGCCCTGCATTCGGATTCATTCCTGCCAGAGGTGGGGAGTGCAGTGGTTTAGCACAGTTTGGAATCAGAAGGATCTGAGTCTGAATTCCATATTGGCCACTTAATAGTTAAGTAACCTTTGTCAACTCAATAACCTCTCCAGCCTCAGTTTCAGCATTGGAAAAGAGATTTAAAAAATACCATCTTCATAGGAGTGCTGTAAGGGTTAAATGAGATATTTCATTCAAGTTCTCAGTATATAGTACCTGTTCAGTAAAAAACGGCAACTAATAGTACCTGGCACTGTTTTAAAGTGCTTCGTGTGTATTAACTTCACTTAATTCTCACAGGAACCCTATGTGGGGGAGCTACCATTATTATTACTCCTGATTTACAGATGAAGAGACTTGGGCTCAAGAGAAGTCAAGTAATTGTCCACACCCAGGAGCTGGGCCCAGGATTGGAATCCAGGCAGGCTGGCCTCATGTCCACACTCTTACCCACTAGGCTACACTGACTTTTGTGTGGTCTTTTAACACCTACAAGAATTCACGGAGGATACAGAACCTCGGATCCTTCTTAGAACTGATACAGCAAAAAGAAGAGCCAGAGGAAAGCAGGATGAAGGGCTGGGGTAGGGAGCAGCCATTTTTGTATGTGGGATCCTAGGTAGCTGATGAAAGACTTTTCCAATTGATAAACAGAGCAAGCAAAAACAATTTTAATCTTTACTTCTCTATAGAAGTTAAGATATGCCCCAACTTTCTAAAACTTCTGCAACCCATGGGTCCGGTCAATTTGCAATCCTTAATTCTCCACTACCTGGACCCACTGCTTCTGAGGGTAAGCTCGGATGGTAAGGAGGTCATTAGGTGTTCATAAACCTCTATTTCAGCACAGGTATGAAGCTCACGGTGGCACTATAGC